TTTTTGCAAACAAGGTTATGTTATCTACATAAAGGATTTTTTTGAATAGTCTTCCTCAATCTTGAAGGCACATTCTTCTTTATACAGACCTCCTCCGGCACACAGTAATAAGTGTGGAGATAGGACATAACTCCAAAACACACCTTTCCTAACTGAAACCACGCAGTATCATTCTGTTTAAACTACTGCTTCTTGATCTATGTACAGATTTTTTATAAGCATACATAGGTGTTCTAGAATTCCTTTTCTAATTCATATAGTAAATTCCTTCACATAATAAGTAACACAAGCAAATATCTTTCTTTCTGGTGTCATCTGCTCTAAGTCATGATCCATTTACATTGCCACTGAAATTCCTTGTTACAAGGTTTCTTCTGAATCCAGTAATTTTTTTTTTTAAAAATCAGCTTTGGCAAGATTTTACTTTTATGTGATATTAATAATATTTCCAATAATTTCTGCACTGTGCTAGATCAGGTTTTTTTTTAAAAAAATAGAACAAATATGGATTTCTTCCAGTCAGTTGGCCAGGTAGTTGTCTTCCAAATTTTTTGGCATAGACTAGTAAGCATGTCAAAGATTGTTTATTTTTACTGTAATACCTCAGTTGGTATTGCATCAATTCTTGGGGTCTTATTTTTTTGTCAATGCCTTCAGTTCAGCTAAGACTTCCTATTCCATTTGGTTTTTATTATATATTGCTTTCTGAGCTGCTTCAATGTTGACCAGTTCCTTTTGGTGCAGTAAATCAATATTTCTTCCTTAAAGAAAATAAATTATTTAATCTATTCTTTTCCCAGCTAATGACTTTTGTTTTAAAAAGACAGAAGAAACAAATACAAAGAAGATGCCTCAAATGAAGGAATGCACTGAGCTGTAGTGCAGATGAGCATTACAGAAAAACTTTATGACCTGAAGTCTAAATATTCTTTCTATTGTCTCTCATCTAAAGAAGAAAGATATTGGCTAAAAATTTTTTACTGAAAAATGGTAGTATAGGGAAGACAGCTCCCAATTTTGTTGTTGTTGTTAGATGCCATTAAATAAGACTCACGGCGATCCCATGGACAACAGCTTTGAACTCTGTCCTATCCTGTGTCAACCTCACAATCACTGACACACTCAAGCCCATTGCTGTAGTCCCTGTATCAATCTACCTCGCTGAGGGTCTTCTCTTCTTTCTCTATTCCCCCACCCTTTCAAACATCATGTCCTTCTCCAAGGAAGCTTTCTTAGCAACATGCCCTAAGTATGTGAGATAAATGTTCAGCATCCTTGCCTCTAAGCACTCTGACATAACCTTCTTCAAGACATATCTGTATGTTCTCTTGGAAGTCCATGGGATATTCAGTACCCTGCTCTAACACCACAGTTCAAAGGCATCATTTTTTCCCTCCTGTCATCCTTATTCATTGTCCAATTCTCAACAGCAAAACAAGTGATTTGATAGGCCATGATCGGAATCAAGTACATCTTACTCCTCAAACTAATTTCATTGCTCCTCAGTAATTTGGAGAGGTCCCTGGCTGCAGACTTTCCCAGTGCAATAAATCTCCTGATCTCAGTTATATCTTATAATAAATAATAAAATTCTCCAGTTTGCACCCAACTCCCAAACTAATATTTAAATAATTATCTATTTGTGATGACTATAGACTGGTTTGAAAGTGCAAATCAGTCCATTATAGTTCTTAATATTCAAACAAATACAGGTACATTATGTGCCTTATTTAGATATATCCCTTTATGCAGAGAATCAACTTATTAAATCCAATGACCAAAGTTCCCTATTTGGGCCTCCCATGCTTCTTTGATTGGTACCATGAAGTCCAATGGCCTAAATTCCCTATTTGGGCCTTCCATGCTTCTTTGTTCGGTACCGTGGAGTTGGTTTCAATTCGTAGTAACTTCTGTGAATGGACTTCTTCCCCAAAAAGTACATGTCAATTTGGCTAAGTCATAAATATCAATGTTAAAGAATAATCCCAGTTTTCTACTTTGTTACAATTATTTAATGTATCATAAATTTTCTATCCCTAATCCGCCAAACCAACTCAAATACAAGTATAGCACACGAGATACATATTTCAAAAAGATCTAAAAATTGAGTTAATAAATAGTAATTCTCTAGAGGGTAAATGCCATTTTCACATTGAAAAATGGGGAAACTGAGTCTCACACAATGGGACTTGTCCAGGGTCTCATCACAAACACTAATATTCTTGTCTCACCACAGAATGCACCATTCCAAATACAGGTTTTCCCTGCTAAGTGAAAGTTAGATGAGCCACAATGGCATAAGGCAAAGAGGCAACTACCATTAACTTACATGGGAAAAATGTCAAGTATTCTAAGACTTGAAAAGTAACTTACTGAATCATACATACTAGAGCAAAATAGGGGGAAAAAAGGCAAAAGTAATTCTAATTACAATACCCTTAGTTTATATCTATGGTAGTTTAATGCTAAGTGTAGTTTTCAGATAAGGAGAATGGCAGTACCACTGCTACTGCTGGGGCTGCATGCTGCGTCTTTAATGCTCAATACTGAAAGCTAGTTTCACTTTTACCTCCTTTCATAACCATGAAACTTCTCTTTGGATCTCTTTCACTTAGCAAAATCAGGTACCAGTGCAGTTCCTTCATAAAAGCAAAGTGGCATAAAGTGAATTTTTTTTTTTAAAGTAGTGGATACCTCTACTGGACACTGTTGCAAGATAGTATCTAGGGTAGACTTGTTGAATGATAAAATTATAGTAAGGAAGAAAGAAAGAATTATGAACTTCAATATGGTTTTTATAGTCTTGGCTTCACTGTAACTATGTCTGTGACATTGGCTAGGTCGCATCACATTTCTAAGGCCCTGACCCCTCAGTTGATATTTGAATGAGGCGATCTCCTGGCTATACGATTCTGGAATTCTATGCTTCCAAATGTCTTGCACCTTGAGATTCTAACAGCTATTGAGATTCAGACACCTATGTGTGGTGGCTGAGCTGTTCCAGTCTTGAGTTAGCTTTCTATTTTGGATCATTTTAAATTCATTCAATGAGAAATTATCACTATGCAACAAGAGGCAATTACAGAAACAATTACATCAAGAATAACATATGGCGAAACAACAGAGAGTTATTGCAGTGTGTAAAATAAACAGATGGGAGAACGTTGATATAACCTTGACAGTTGACCCTGACACCCCAGATCTGTGATATAGTCATATGCAAGGAAGAAAACCATCTGGCCATAAGGATATAGCATTTTTTACTTTTCTGTTTCTGTTATTAAATTATTCCACTGGTAGTAGAAGAGAATACTGACTGGTCTCAGTCATTAATCTAAAAGTTAATAGAACTCAGTAACACTTAAACAATAACATAAGGCCAAAGCCACCTCCTCCTCTCAACAAATTTGAGAGTCTCACTCTGTCCAGCCATACATGCATTTTCTTATCCTGAAATTCTTAGTCAGAGTCCTCTTCTGATAAAATCCTTTCTTGAAGGATTTTAATAATAATCTAGATTCTCACCACTGGGTCAATTGACAGCATCATGATAGATGGTGAAGAATTGAGATTGTTGACAGCTTTAGTTTGCTTGGCTCCACAGTCAACACTCTTGGTACCAGCATCCAGGAAATTAAAAGGCGAATTGCATTGGGAAAGTTGGCTGTCGGAGACCTCTCCAAAGTGCTGAAGAGCAACGATGTCAGTCTGGAGACTAAGGTTCACCTGATACAGGCCATGGTATTTGCAATTACTTGCTATGCATCAGAAAGCTGGACAATGACGAGGGATGATAGACAATTGATGCCTTTGAGTTGTGGTGCTGGAGAAGAGTATTGAATATACCACAGGCTGCTAGGAGAACAAACAAGTTCGTCCTGGAGAGGTTGAAGCCAGCCTGTTCCTTGGAGGCAAGGATTCTGAAGCTTCATCTGACATACTTTAGACATGTTGCAAGGCAGGATCAGACCTTGGTGAGGGACGTCATGCTTGGGAGGGTGGAGGGACAGCACAAGAGAGGAAGACCCTCAATGAGATGGATTAATTCAGTGACTAGGGTTATCGGGTAGGTGTATCGGAGACAGTAAGATTGGCACAGGATAGAGCAGGGTCTAGGGCTGTTGTACACAGGGTCGCTATGAGTCGGAGGCAACTCGACAGCACATAAAAATAATTAACTTACTTTTCTGTATTTACTTCTTACCCCCTGATATAGCCTGCACTCTAGCCTCACAACTCACTGTTGTTCATGATTCCCTGAGATAGCTCACAGCTCCTTCAAAGGTCTCTTTCAAGGCAACCCAAATGTTTCCTCTTTGAACTTTTCACTGTCCTCTCAAGGAATGTTAAGTAATCCACAACCACCACCATCCTCCAGTTGACTCTCGCTCAAAACAGCCTTCAAGGCCGTAAATGTTGAAAGGAGAAGACTGTCTACCTTCCTCCTGAGGAGCTGCATATGGGTTCAAACTCTCAACCTTTCAGCTAGCAGCTCAACATGGAACACCACCTCCTCTGAATTCCCACAGCATTTTTCCATGCCCACATGACAGCAGGGTAGCCAGCTGATTTCTGCTATAGTTAATTGTCTAAATGTCTCTGTATCTTGCCATCAACCATCCCACTAACATGTAAGCATATCCTAACTTCTGCTGAGGTGATTTTATTTCATGGAGACCCTCTGTTGAAATTCAGAGGCAGAAGACTACCTCCTTTGTTCCCACAGAGCTGCTGATAGATTAAAACAGCAAACCTGTCAGTTGATTGATCAATACATAACATACTATTCTGTAGTTGTTGGTGTGTGCTGTTGAGTTCATTCAGCGGGTTTGCAGAGGCTGTAAATGGCACAGGAGGCCATTGTCCACCATTTTTCCACAGGGCAGCTCGTGGCTTAGAACCTTTGAGTTGTCAGTACAACTCCCCAACCATTAGGCCACTAGGGCACTCTATAATTAAGAAAAGTTATTATGAAAGACTTTTTTTAAAAAGTTCACTACCTGATAAGGCCCAGGTCGTCTCCATTCAGATCTACCATTTTCAAGATTAACATTTCCTTGTCTACATTTGAAGTGTACCTAGGCAGCAAAGCAGAAAAACTTCGTCAATTCCGTGTTAGAAGCTGGCGTTCATGTGTAACAAACAGTAAAACTGACACAGAAACAATATGTCAGTATGTGAGACTCTCTGACAAACAATAGTCCCATGTACTATATTCTGAATGCCTTTCCTTGACTAAGGAAATTGTGTACAATTGTGATAAAAATTAGAGGCGCTCAGAAAGCTGACTGGAGCTGAGTAACACGTTTTATATCATTTATGGTATTACATCACATATTTATTTCTTACACAAAATATTCGCCTTTGAAATTTCTCTTCACATACCACATTTGAAGTATGTGAGACCCACAACTTAAAGAATTTCAAGATAAGCCAGATTATATTGTCTTAAAAATCAACTTCTTTCAAAGCTATTCAAATATATCCAGACAAATACAAAACATCAGGTGGTCAGGTAGAAAATGTACTTGTTTTGCAGGTATTTCCCACTGTCACAGTTTTATCAAACTTCTCCTTATTGCCCTTCAAAGATACCCTATCTTTCGCAAACTAAAGTTTGGTGGCAACCCTGTATTAATCAAGTGGATAGGTGTCATTTATCGAACAGTATAAGCTCACTTTAGGTCTCTGTGTCACATTTTGGTAATTTTCCCAGTATTTAAAAGTCTTCATAACCCTGTATTACACACTTGGTAGCCTAGAGTAAAGTGGTCTCTAATTGTGTTATTGGCTGTGCTATGGTGGTCTAGAATAAAACTCAAAATAGCTTGAAGGTGGGCCAATGCTTTTCTCACAATCCTGAGAACATAAGAGATAAAATATCTCTCAATTTTTCTTTTACTTTTCAAAGAGAAGAGTGAACTGGGGGTGGGGGGCGGAGAGCGAGGAGATAAGTGCAACAATGAATGAATGGAAATCCAAAATCTCTGGAAATGTTCATTTAAATTAATAATAAAAAAAATCATCCCTTTCAGATATCTCTCTCGTGTGGGCTTTATTTCTTGCCCCTTCTTCCTGTGTCTTTACTCTTTTTCCTGTTCTCCTTTGTCACATTCTCCTGAACTAAGATCGCTTCTTCTAAATGTAATTTCTTCTGGATAACATGCGATAAAAATGAGCTATTCATTAATTTCTGAACGTGTGCTCTGTACATTATCATCTGCTTTCTACTGATAAAGAACTTGTATGTCAGTAAAGATAGGTAAATCCCTTATGGTTGCACAACTAAGATGTGATAAAGCTCAAACAAGACCACAGTCTTGCCAGCTTGCAAAGCCTAAGGTCCTTTCAACACTCACACTGGTTCCCAGAGCCAGGAAACCAGACAGAAAGGTGACCTGGTCGCTAAGTGCTTTTTCATTCACATTTTGTGTCTTACTGTCTTAGATTAGAAACATATTTTTGAATTATTTTGGCTTTAATGCTTTTTCTTGTATCCCACTATGTTCATTGAAGAATGATCCTCTAAAGTTTCTCTAGCATTTCTAATCTGAAGGAAGCACTCTGAATTCATTTTGATAATCCCCTCTCACCTCATTCTCTCTGATTGTGGATTCTGAAGGTAAGAAAAAGGGCTTCGGTTGATCTGTACACCTTCCACATTTCCTCTATTGACAAAGATTTTGCCTGGTTTCATATTTGCATGTGCTATATCAATGCTCTAAAGTAAAAAAAAATAAAGAGTTGTATATTTTGAAAATCTGATAGAAATAATGGCAGTCATAATAAACAGAAATATTATGGACAATTTCCAATGTCTTTCACTCAACCCCATTATGGAAAGATGCTTGGAGGACCACATGGCTGGTCTCATTCCGGACATAATCAGAATGACCTTTCAGAGTTCAGAAGGAGATTGCAAAGGGAGGACTGTGCTGATGGATGACTGAAATTCCAATGCACTCCGTCACAGTCTTTCTGGATAGCTCTGTATCTGTGCCATAGGTTAATTCAGACACATTTGCTATTTCACACGGTTAAAAGAGAGGCATTACTCGTATAAGACTGGGGTAAGATATGTAAGTTCTTCATAGGGAACCCTAGTGGCCAGTGGTTTAAGACATCAGCTGTTAATGAAAAGGCCCACAATTTTCTTACGAATTATTTGTTGGGAGGAAGGAGGAGAGAACCAGCTTCTCTCAAGATTCACAGCTTTGGAAACCCTACTGAGCAGTTCTAGTCTGTCCTATACAGTCTCAATGAGACAGAATCCCCTTGACAGCAGTAGATTTTAGAAAGTTCCTCGTCATCACTTCCCCTAATAACACCACCCTTAATGCTAGTATTTCCTAAATTTGTAGACTGTGAGTCATATTAAGAGAGAGAAAACATTCTACTATGTGTTATGCACTATAATATTTTCCAACCTATTTTATTATGCTGTTGGTGTTGTTACATGCCACTGAGTCAGAACCAACTCACAGTTACCTCTCCAGCCAGTTTTTAGAGGCAGTAAACTGCACAGGAGGAGAGTGTTCATCCTTCTCCTGTAGAACCGCTGGTAGATTTGAATGGTGGGCCTTTGGGATTGCAGTGTGACTTCTTACCACTAGACCACCAGAGCTCCCTACTTTATCATTGTTCTCTCTCTCTCTCTCTCTAATGCTTATTGCCTCTGGAAACTCAGTGAACTTGGAGGAACAATGAAAGTTACATAAAGTGTTCAGGTCTTTTGTTCATAGGGTCATTATGAGTCATCTTCAACTTGACTCGACCAAACTTAACAACAACATTGCAACACATGAGAATAACTTCATTCACCATTAATAGATTGCTAACCACAGTGTTTGGAAAACACTGTAAAATTAGTTCTGCCTTTGCCATTTAGATCCCTGGATTAATATCCCATCCTTAATAGGGTGTGTTTCTAAGCAAAAGGAGACAAATGTAACTTGGATGGCAAATGAGTGAAATAAAACATCAGCAAGTAAATGAGAGAATAATAAACTAGAATGCAAGGGAGAGAGAAGTAAAAGCTCATAAGCCAGGATCAGGAGAGGAGTTTGAGAGTCTGGAGGTGCTACAGGTAATATTAGAAATTATGGTGCTGTGTATATAAATTAGATCTCTTTTGTGCTGTTCGAGAAATGGAAGGCAAGATAGGAATTACTTGTCATTTCTTTTGATTCCTTGTTGGGCAGCTTTTCATGTATTTAAGCAGAGAAGAGGCCATATGGAACCCTGTAACTTAATCAGGTTACACACAAAATGTTTCCCACCGCTTGGAATGACTGCATGGGATTTACTACATCTTCTCTAAGTCAATCAGTGTCTCTGATAGAAAAGCAAGTCAGGAAAGGAAAGGGCTTTAGGTGTTAAGTCTGTGCTGGATCCAGATCTGACAACCACCCTCCAAACGCACAGAGAACTACATCAAAGCCTCATTTTAGCAATGATAAAGGGCAGGTATCCCCCAACTGTGGGACTCCTTGCCTACCTTCATGATGCCATTGACCATGTACTGAAAAGTTCTGTTGCTGAATCCTTCACTGGCAATTATAAACACAGTGTACTGTAAATAGCCTGCTGGTGCTGAGTGTGTGTGAGTGCCACTCAAGATAACGTTGTCTCTTCTGTACAGGGAGCCATATTTACTCTCCAGTCTCTTCAGAACCTTCAAAAAATAAAGCAAAACAAGAAAACAGAACTAAGAAAGAAAAAAAAAACACAAAACATGGCAGCTTAACATGAGAAAAGACTGATGAGTTCAGTCACAGATCCATACTAAGGGAGTCTTTATGCTTGAGTAGATCAATGTAGCAACAATACTATTGATAGTAATTTACATACATCATATCATTTTAAATTCTTCATATTATTATTAGCCTTTCCTTTTTAAAAAATCTCATTACATGGAAGTTTAAGTAACTAAAGTGTCCACTAAGCTAGTAAAGAGAAATGTCAGATTCAGATCCAAGGTATTTAAATTATAGACCCAGTATTCTTACTTATTTATCATAGAGTATTAGAATCCAGGTATAATCATAAGACTTATCACGTAAGTTTCCTTCACTCGGGACTTTTTTTTAATGATACAAGAAAGATGACTGATAAGTAAATAAATAAGATTATGCATTTAGTGATATATGCACAGAGTAAGATATTTCTAGATAAGATAAAAGAAGGTTATGGATGGCCATGAGAAGATATTTTTTGATGAGTACTTTTCTATAGAGGGTTGAATGAAAAGAGTAGACTAGTACATTTTCTGGTCGATAAGTTTTCGGGGCAAAGTAAACAAAAAGTACAAAGGTCTCTTTACTCTCATTTCCCAAGATGAAGAATTCAATATTCTGAGTATGAGGGAGGCCAGCGGCCATGAGGTAAGGATACGCCAACAATTCTCTACAGAAACCCATGTGGAAAGTAATCTTGTTAGCACCCATTTGCTAGGCAGGTTGTTGCAATCTTTTTTTAAATGTTTTATATGTTCTTATTTTATTAATAATAATAAATAAATTAATTCATTTTAATGCTTTGAATTTTATTAATATAATAATATTAATATTTTAGTGCGTGTACCATCAAATTGGGTTACAATCTTGAATGAGAAACTTTAACCTCTGTGAAGCCTTCAAATAACTTCAACAAGGTCAATATCTGGATGTATTCTCATGACATAGAAATGACAAAGTGTAACATATTCTAACACAAGTCAAAACTTGCTAACTCATCCTTTCTTGATTCTTGACTCACAAAACCAGGAGCAATAATATGTGACTGCTGTTTTAAGGAGTTCCTGATTGCTATAAATGGTTAGTGGTTCCTTGTCAATTGTAAAGTTAGAGGATCAAATATACCCACAGGGTCCTTGGAAGAAAGGCTTGGTGATTCACTTTCGGGGAAAACCAAAAACCCACAACACTAAAAACTATGGAGTATAGTTCTATGATGATACATTAGTCATGTATGGTTCAGCATGAGTCACAGACTTAACAGCAACTAATTATTACTTTAAGCTACTAAGTTTTAAGATTACATATTTACAACAACATATAATTAGTTAAAAAAATAACTTGTCAATCAGTGAACATCCAAGTGGATGACTTGTGTCTATGGTACATAGACACTAAAAAAAATAATATTGTTACTGAAAACTTGTTTCTGATTATGTTCTAATCAACTGCAATCTAGAGTTTGATATTATTTCTTAGTCATGCTTTGACTTCTTAAAGCTGAAAAAAATTAAAATAGCACATCAAGTTTCATTTATTGCTTTGTTGATGTTATAGGTCATTGAGTCAATTTTAATTCATGGCATCATTTATGAATGTATATGACTCTCTGTCAAACCTTCACTTTGGCAGTACAATTCCTTACAACTAAGCCACCAGCTCTCCCTATATGACTCCAAATGAACTGCACTGTAGAGCTTCCAAGGCTGTAATCTGTACAGAAGATAGCTGGGTCTTCTTTCTCACAACACAATTGATATGTTCAAACTAAGAACTTTTCCATTAGCAGCTGAACACTTAACCATTGTACCACTAGGCATTTTTCAATAGAGATTCTGTAATCTGTTACCAGGGATCACAATAAAAGCTCTTTTAAAGATGGAAAATAAGTTTTTATTTCATGTTTAGTTCTGTTTCTTGGTGGTTGTTGTCAGAAGCTGAATGATAAGAAGGATTCTGAGACTAAATCCAGGCTTAGCAAGAAAGAGTACTTTTATTGTCTACCTTGGGTGTACCTTGGCTGTGCTGATAACCTGTCTGCCTATAAAGAAAAACAAAAGGCCCTTATTTGTAATGTTTGCTTCCCATTTTCTGTGGTTAAATACTTCCACTGTGGCCAATTTCAAGTTATCAAATTTAACAACAAGATCATAAAGTTCCAAAATATATAAAAAGTATCTCTGAAATACTGGTACAAGTCATATCTCACATACTATTTGTATGTGAACTAGTAGCAGAAAAATAGCAGCTTATGTGCTATCTATCTTCCATATACAAAGACATCCATGCAACCTCTCCTATTTTAAAGAAGTTACATCACCCTCATTCCACAATGTGATCATTAAATCAGGAAAAACATTTTACAAGTCATCTTGCTACATTAATCTCTCCATGCTTCAAAGACCAAAAGTTATTTTAGCATTCCATAGTTTGAATCTGGTAATAAAAGAAAAAATGTGGGAAGGAAATGCAATCTAACTAGGGTAACACCCTTCTACACAAGTACCCCACATTCTCTGCTTTAACAAATTTCTATGATCTTTCCATTTGGCCCTAACTCTGGTCCCACCTGCTCATTATCTTCACCTATTCTTCTGCATGTTAGCTACAACACTCATAAAGGAGAAAGTGTGTAATTCTGGTTTTGGTAAACTATTAATTTGGAATACTAAAAGGTAAGATTTGCCTAGGAGATAAGCTCATTAAAAGTAGAATCTAGTAGTACTGGTTGGGGTGTGGTCAAAGGAAAAGAGTCAGTTCCACCAAGTTTTCTGAGGAGATTTACATTCAAATGGATTTGTGGACCCACATTGGCATTTTGATTGAAGAAGTTCACATTTGAAAGAAGAGCATTCAAACAGAGCAAAGAAGAGAAGAAAAAAGGAAAGGAAGGGGCTGTCTTTTTCTAACTTGGACAAGCTTGTGAGGCAGGTGGAAGCTGGTGCCCATCAGAGCCTACTTCTCACACTTGAAGGTGAGTCTACTCACTCACAGCAGTCACTTGGATCCAGAGGAGTGGAAATCGGAGGAATACAAGGGAGAAACAGGCTGAGCTTGGATGTGTTCTTTCAGCACTGTCTACCTATCACTCACAGATGTGCGGATAAGAAGAAAAGGACTGTTGGTCCAAGGAGCAGGAAGTTATGAAGACCCCTGGCTTGTTGATTTGACTTCCATGGGCAAGCAAGGGCTGAGAGAGAAGACCAACAGGTCTGGAACACAGGGAGAAGTGTGGACTCTTGAGTTTGCAGCTGTTCCCCATTTTAACCTGCACACGAATGGTCAGGGATGAGTTGACCAGAGCCCAACTAGATGAAAAGATGATCCAAGCTGTGAGCTAGGGTTGATAGCTACAACCTGATGGTTTGTTCTGGACTGGACTTTGCCTATAGATGCTCAAAGTTTCCAAGTTGAAGAGAGGATCTTCCAGCGAAAGTGATGAACTTATTCTCTCAGAGCACTGGTTTGATAGGGATGGGCAAATCAGCAACTATCTATCTAAAAGGAGGATGCTGGGCATGAGACATAAAGTAGCTATCTTACATGCTTTCAGGAAAGTAGTGGTTAATGGGATGACTGTAAGGGAGGAAAACCCAACAATATAAAAGAATGATATTTAACATTGTGACACATTAATAAAAGGAAGAAAAGGTATAATCAGAACAGGGACACTACAAAAAGTAAAGCCAAGATCTAATGTTCTTAACTCTTGTTATATGCTGTTGAATCAACTTCAACTCACAGCAACACTATGTATAAGAGAATGACATCTTGTCCTATCCTGCATCTTCTTCACAATGTTTCAGACATTGTGGAAATCCATCTCGTTGAGGGTTTTTTATTTTTTACTAACTCTTTACTTTACCAAGCATGATCTCTTTCTTCAAGGACCAGCACATTCTGATAACTTGTGTACTCCTGTGGCCATCCACAATATATTCGAAATTCTTCAGCAAGAATGGTGAAGTGGTATTGAATTGAAAGGCGTCAATCTTTCTTTGATCTTCCTTATTCATTTGTCCAGCTTTTAAGATATATATGAGGAAACTGAAAATACTATCTTTGGGGTCAAACACACTTTTGTCGTAAAATTGTTATCTTTACATTTTATCCCTTTAAGGAGACCTGTGGCAGTAGATTTTCCCATATAAATACTTCCTCTGATTTCTTAAATGTTATTTTCAGTAGTATTGATTGTTAATCCAAGTGGATGGAATGAACTCCTTGACAATTTAAATCTTTTCTCTATCATAATGTTGCTTGTTCGTCTATTAGGGAGAAATTCCCATGTGATACAACATCATCCATAATTTTTTATGATCTACTCAGTCTAATATTTTTGCATATTCAGTAGAAAACCAGGCAAACATCTTTCCAATTTTAGGCAATTTATATCTGATTTCAGCATGATATCCATCATTTCATAGCCTCTTCTAAATCCACCTTGAGTTTCTGGAAGTTCCTCACCAATCAATAAAGCAAATGATGATGAAATTGAGGGTTTCTATTAATTTTTGGTCTGGCATTGATTAAACATTCACACAGGATATATTGAAAATTATTAGTTATTGGAATACAAAAGTTAGAAACAAATAAGAATTGGTAGAGAGGAAGACCCTCAACATGATAGATTGACTCAATGGCTGGGGTAATGAGGCTTGGTGTGTAAGAGACAGTAAGGTTGACTCAGGACAGAGTAGGGTTCAGAGCTGTTGTACGTAGGGTTGCTATAAGTTGCAGGTGAATCAAAGGCACATAACAACAACAACAGTTTTACAATATGGGTTTGGTGAGAGAAACGAGGCTGGAAATCACACAATAAAATTTAGGTCAGCCGATGACTTGTTCATTGCAAATACCTTTTATTAAAAGACATAAATTGTTGTTGTTGTTGTTATGTGCCATCGAGTCACTTGCAACTCATAGTGACCCTATGTAC